TTAAAATTATTTCATTAGGACTTACCTCATCCAAAGATTCTACTGTTGAAAGCTCTGGATCAGTCTACAAGGTAAGTTAATGTTAGTATTTTTTAAAAAAATTAAAAAAAAAATTTAATTAATATTTTTCCATTACGACTTACCTTCAACCTAAAAATTCCAAGGTTAGAGGTTCCAGATCAATCTATAAAGTAAGTTAATGTTAATATTCTTTGTTAAATTATAAAAAAAAAAAATATTCAATTAAAATTATTCCATTAGGACTTATCTCATTCAAAGAATTCCACGGTTGAAAGCTCTGAATCGATCTACAAGGTAAGTTAATATTAGTTTTTTTTTTAAAAAAAAAAATTTAATTAAAATTATTTTATTAAGGCTTACCTACAATCTAAAGATTCACAATTTATAGGTTCTGAATTGGTCTACAAGGTAAGTAAGATTAATTTTATTTTTTTAAAAATAAAATTGAAAGAAAAAAAAAAAATCTAAATTAAAAAGTTACCATTAAGACTTACCTTCAAAGATTTACAGTTTATAGGTTACAAATCAATCTATAAAATCTATAAAGTAAGTAAGATTAGTTTTTTTTTTTAAAAAATAAAAATTGAAAAAAAAAAAATTTAAAGTCTTTGAAGCAAATATTTTTTGACATAACTTCATAATGACTGCGCTAAATCATATGGTAAAATATTTATTCAAAAGCCAAAAAGCAGGAGATTTTATTAAAAAAAAATTAATAGGGAATGCATTTCCTATTTTTCTCAATCATAAACTTACATCTCTCCTTCATTGAACTAACTAGACTTTTAATAATATTCTGTGAAATTTTGACCATTCCTCCTTCATAAAATTTTCCAAATCCTCAATATTTTGTGGTTGCTGCATCTCCACGTTTCTTTTAACAATTACCTATAAATTTTCTATAGGATTCAAGTTGGGATTGTTAGATGGCCAGTCCATAACAGCTGGAACTTTTCTTTGCAAAAAATCCTTAGCTACATTGCTCGTATGCTTAGGATCAGTATCTTGCTGGAGGCGCCAATTGTTACGTAGCACCCTCTTGATTTCAGGAAGATGCTTTTTTATTATTTTAACATAGAATTGCCAGTCATATTCTTTCAGAAATAGTAAAGACTGGTTTTGCCCTGAATACAAAATCTACCCTACGCGTTAATTCTTGTCCGGTCCTTTAGGATGTGATAAACTGGTTGTTGACTCTTATACTAATATTTCACAGTATTACTAAATAACCAAAAGGATGTTTCGTCTGAAAAAAGAGTGCGATTCCAGTCATCATTCATATAGTTTTGGGTCTATTCTATACGTTTCTGCTTATACAACCTTGTAAGCATTAGGGTTGCAATGGGTTATTTCTTATCATAGCCAAAGTTGGTTAAGTGCTGCAAAACTGTACTGTAGAATACGTTTACACCCTTTAGTGATAATTTGGACACTAATTTTCTAGAAGAAACTGCTGGATTTCTTCTAATATACTACCTAAGAGCTTTTGAGCTCTCTGAAGTAATTTTTTTGGGATGACCAGGGTGTTTTTTGTGGATGATGCTTCTGGTTTTTTTCAATTTTGCCAAGTTGAAATATATTGTGGACCTTGATATATTTATTTTATATCTTATTTCAGCTGCATTTGTAATCTCAGAATTCTACAAATATTAAATGGATTGAGCTTGTGCAGTTTTGTTATCGGTTTTCATTTCGTCGCTAAATTAAAAAATATTTTCTAAGACAAAGTTGACAATTAAAACGCCAATTGATTGTCCAAATGTTGTATTTTAAATGTTTAAAATTTAACCCGATTTGAATTTAAATTGGCTGATCTATGTGACTTTTAATTTTATCACTAATCATCCAAAGACTTTTGCACCAGACTGTAACTTCGTCATGGCCAATCGGCAAAATCAGCAAAATGTCACATGACTTTATCAATTTTAGGCGCGGTTTATTTGCAATTATACAAAAATGCAATATTTTAACGTCTCCGATGTCTGGGACGTTCAAAATATTGCAAAATTGCAAAAATTAGTTAAATTAATTACTAAGTGTTGTAACAAATTAATGAATATCATCAATTATTGCAACATAGTTATAACATATATTATAACATTATACGTTGCAACATATTAATTATGGTTACCATCTTTAGTCAGCAGAAAAATATTTAGATTACTTATTTTGATGATTATCTTTCTTGAGTTCTGAAAAGAATACCACAAGGTCTGCTTATACTTTCTGCTATGGGTATTGACCCCTTTAGAGATTAGTAGAGTTAGATTATCTTGGCTGATAAGTTTTTATTTACATCTTGCTAACTGATTTTTTTTTACATCATGCTAACCTTTTTTTTACATCATACTATTCTGATTTTTTTTACACTATAATAGCCTTTTTTTACCTAAGATTATACTTCTAAGTGTAAATTTTTATTATACTAGAATTATAATTAAAAAAGTGTACACAAGCAAGAAAGTAAATTAACGATTCTAATAAGAAAAGTAGGCTAGGATTTAATATTTGTTATTCATTTCTTTAAGCTTTTAGGTGAAAATAAAGTAGACTGTAAATACCTTCTACTAGATGTAAATTTTTATTATATAAAGATTATAATCAGAAAGACGCACAAATATAAAAAACAAATTAGTAATTTTATTGAGAGAGAGGGCGAGAGTACATTCTAAGAATACAATTTTTATTGATATAGTAAAACTATATTTTGAGAGCTCTAGAATAGCGAATTAATAAGTATTCATTTTAGTCAGTAAGAGAATGCTTAGATTACTTATTTTGATAACTATCTTTCTCAGATTTTTAGGTGAAAAACAAAAAGTCTGCTCGCATACCCTGCTGCTATTTTCTTTAAATAGACCTTTTAAATTAATTTTATATACTATAAAAATAAAATATAAAATAAAAATTAACTATATTTTAGTTTAAAATTTTTATTATTTGTAAATAGTTTAATTTAAATATTTTAATTTATTATAGTATTTTATTTTTATTAATCTTACTTTATTAATTTATATTAATAAATATATTTTTAGAAAAACTTTCTTAATATATATTTTTAAATTTAAAATAATAACTAAAAATAATTTTATCTTATTAATTATATATTTAAATATAGTAAATTTTTTCTTTAATTATCTATAATTCTAATATTAATTGTATAAGCATCATATTTTTTAATTATAATAGGATTGATATATTAAAAGTAATTTTTAATATGAAATAGGTTTTTTTGAATTATAATTAATATAATTTAATAATGTAATTCAATTAATTATATGTTTATTAATAATAATTATGATTGATATAATTATTTTTGATCATAAAATAAATATTTTGTCATTGGTTTTTTAATTTTACAAGGAAGTATAATTAAAAGTAAATGTATTTTATTTATATTTTCAATTAATTATAAAGAATAATTATATAAAAAAAATAATTTATTTATCATGTGAACCTTCCTTTTATCAATGTTATACCTCTTCCTTTTTCATTTTTCATATATATTCTGAAGGACAAAAATTTTTTAATTGTAAAAAATCTATTCTTCACACAATACGTTAAATGTCACATGTTTTAATTTTGGCCGGAATTACATAATTTTGCCCAGAAGCGATGCATCGCGCGTGCGATGAATAAATTTTCTCATATATAAATTACATTTATTTAAAATCTAATTTAATAAACTATATTTTTTCTAGATTAGTTTAATAAATTATATTGATTATAAAAAGCTATCAAGCCATCTATTTAAAATTTTAAAATATAATAACTGGTAGAAATTCGAGTCAGAAACTCGAGTCAAACTTGAGTTAAAGTCATAATGCGAGCCGGAAAAGTACAATGCAGGCCAAAACTTTTTGTGATAATTCAGGCCAAACTTAAAAGAAATTTTTATTCAATGATTATATATAGTTATGCTAATAAATGCAGCTTAAGAAAAAAATTACATGCTATTTATAAAATATAGAATAAATTTGAAGTTGACGAGTAGATTTAACTCGAGTCAACTCGAATTCTGACTCGAATCGAGTTAAACGAAAACGAGTCCAGTCTCTAACCTGGTAAATTTTGAAATTTATGTTTTGGTTAAACAAGTCTAATTTTGGCTAAATAACTTAATAAATGTATTAATACTTATTAGGAATTGATTGGCATTTGGCTGTCAGCCAAAAGATTTTTTGGCCAATTTGGCTGATCAAATTGTTATACGAGACTTATTATATTCGTGTAACCACTACCCTTTTAGAGCAGTGTTGGCATTTTTTGGCCACGGGCAGAAATTTTTTGGCGGCCAAATTGGCCCAAATGGCCAAGCCTTAGAGTAACTGCATAAATAATTTAAACTTTCGCTTATAACTTTGATAATTAAAGTGATGTTCTCATGAAAGGTAAAACTTAAACTAATTTAGCAGTTTCCCCCACTAGTTTTAACTAAAAGATTCATTTTTGAAAAATGCTTTTATTTATATTTATTTTTTTAAATATTTTTACATTTAATTATATAAACATCATAATAACAAGATTTCTTGATAATTTTTGGATCTAAAGAAAAATGATCGCCTTCATTAAAAATATTCGAATATTACCCAAAAAGTATTTTTACAGGGTGGATATTTTAAAGATATTTCTGGGAAAAGGGACCAAATCATCAAAAAATTATTTTTTGATTTGGTCCCTTTTCCCATATATGCATGTAAAACCACTAAATTTGGTAAAGCCAAAATAAGGGGAAAAATTTTTTTTTTTACATTAAATTTTAATTCTTTTAATCTACGCGCCGGAAAAATAAATTATATTTCGTGACCTCAATTAAAAAAAAAAAAAAAAGGATAAATCTGGGATTTCCTTACGGAGTATTTTAAGTGAACGCAAATATGTACAACAAGGAATACTTTTTTTTTATTATTATTATTAAATGATGATAAAAGTACAAATATTATATATATAATGATAAAGCTCAAAAAATTTTTTTTTCCTTAAATCATTTTAGGTGTAGCAAATCTATCGATAAACCTCTTATTAATGATAAAATAAAAAATTACATGATTAATATATACACACATATATATATTAATATTATAAAATTTAAAATTTTTAAACTATATCCGTTGAATTTGTGGACTTCTTCGCTTGCAAAACTAAGATACTCGCAGCAATACCGCCAACTAAAAATGATTCTGCTATATCGCCCAATGATTTACGAGTATCGTTGCCGTAACCACCACCTGAATTTTTAAGGATATCCAAGAATTCTGCTCTATGACTAAAAGTAACATCATGACGCCCACGTCCAACAACAACTAAATCCTTACGATCAACTACTTCCTTTGCACGTTCAATTGCCGTTTGTAAAGGTGTAGAAGAAGCTATTTCCGTATAATTTATTCGAGCATTTGATGCTACCACACCCGTACGTAACTTCAAGGTTTGTGTCAATAATGCCTCATCAGCCGCATAAGATGCATCTCGTGCAACGTTTGAACGAATAACGTGAGCAGATGCGGAAGATATTTTGTGAGCAAGCGAAGGACGTTGGCTTTCTTCGACATTTGATTCCGCATTTTCTTCAAGATCGCCCTCAACTTTTAAGGTCACATCATGTTCTGTGGGTTCAGATGATTTAATTAATCTGAGGACAGTGACTGAAACATTCGGATGGTCAAGTAAATGGATTACAAATGACAATGCCTCACGATCATCGATACCACCAAAGAATGGTAAGAAAACGCGAACCGTAATATTATTACCAACATTATCAATTGAGGTCGTTAAAGGAGACGAGCCAAGTCCACGATCCACAAATACACCAACATTTGCTCTGATGGATACTTCTGAAAAGATTTCTTGAATAAAATGCGCAACTTGCGGACTCGTCACTTTCTTTACTCTTGGTTCAAGAACCTCATCAAGAGGATTTGACGGATCATCAATGATTGCACCTGCACCTCCCCAAGGAATGACTACTAAATTAACATCAGTATCCTCAGCCTTTTCGGAAACTTGCTGCGCAAAGTCTTGTTGTGCAACGACAGCTAGATTTGCTTTCACCTTGACAAAATTTAATTGTCCAAAAGTTCTGAAAATGTTCATGATTGGATCATACAATGTAGTTTCTTCGGTTTCATTAAATTTCATCACCGAGGAGATACGTTGAGTTAATTCAACGAGACGTAAAACATGAACGGTCATCGAAGAACTTGAAAGATCTGTTCCGAGAGTTGGCTTCTCCTTCTCTACTACTTGATGAGCTGATTTTTCTTTTTCTCCCGTATTCGGTTTAGCTTTCACGCTTTTCATAGAAGCTGATAAGGGTTGTAATAATTGAACAAGCATCATCATCGCCGGAAGATGTTCAACTCTATTAAGAACAACCAGCAATCTATTTTTCTTTGCCGAGATGGAATCTTCACCAGGTTCTAATTGAGCGGCACGTTTTGTTTCCATTTTCCTTTGATATTCATGTGGATATAACCATGACGCTAAAGGAGTGGTAACAAATGTTGTAACCAATGCCCTAATAAAAAATTAATTAATTAATTAATTTAATTGCCAAAACTTTTGAATATCATTATAAAAATGCAGTAATCTATGCCTTACATGGCAACCATGATCACGAAAACTTTAGCATTGATGACTTTTGCGTCGAGTCCGATGTTAAGAACGATTAATTCAACAAGACTATTTTTTTTTTTAAAAAAAAAAAAAAGAAAAGAAAAAAAATCAGCATTTTGAAATTCATTTCAAATAATAGAAATAACTTATATATCATTTAAAAATTTACCCTTTGCAACTCATGAAAACGCCAATTGTCAATGACTCTCTCCAAGTCAACTTGTTGAACCTAGCCGCAAGTGTAGCACCTGAGATCTTACCAAACATTGCAACGATGATTACCAAAATGACCCATCCCCAAGCTTCACCATCATTTAAGAGACCAATTTCAGTTTTTAATCCAGACAAGGCGAAATACTAAATAAAATAATAATCATTTAATTAAAAGTAAATCACGTAAAATAAAAAAATATATATATATTGAATGATACTTACGATGGGTAAAAACAAAACACTAATTAAGTCTTCAATCTTCTCCGTTATACCCAGAGCGAAACCACCTTCATGTGGAATAATAACGCCCATTAAAAACCCTCCAAAAATTGCATGCACACCAATAATGCTCGTAACGAACGAAGATATTAGCACAAGGGATAAAGTGATAGCCATCATCGTAACAGTGGGTCCATTATCATTACTTCCAGTTCTGACGATAAGTTTTAGCAAGATTGGACGAATAACAAAGAAAACTATCGTTACCCAAGCGATTGCAAGGAGGAAGATATATAAGGCAGTAAGCGAAGAACTTGAATTAATGATCGAGACGACCAAAGCTAACAGAACCCAAGCAGCCACGTCATCTCCAACACCCGCAGTAAGAGCGGTAACTCCAACTGGTGTTCTAAGTAGTTGAAGTTCTGATAAAATACGTGCGAGTACAGGAAACGCCTACCATGAAATTCAAAGAAATAATTTGGTTAATTTTTTTTTTTCTTAAATTTGGTTTGAGAAATCAAAGCAATAATCTCTTGAAACGAAACTTACCGTGATCGACATTGCTACACCAATGAAAAGAATAAAAGTAAAGAATGACACGTCTTCGTTATTCATTACACGATATAATCCATATCCAACGCCAACGCCAAGAGCGAAAGGCAGTATGATACCCGCAGCAGAAATCGTCATTGCAACTCTCGCATTCTTCTTCAAGATTTTTGGATTCAATTCAACACCGACTATGAATAAGAACAAAATCAATCCCAAATTCGATAGCAAGGACAGGTGAGGACGTGATTCTTTAGGGAAGATTGTATCCATATAATGGGGTATGCGTCCAAAAACTGATGGACCAAGGATAATACCACCGACAATTTCAGAAATCACGCGAGGTTGTCGGAAGCGCGACAAGATGACGTGAAGAATACGCGTGAAAAAAATGATCATTATCACCTTTAAAAGAAGGGTCAAAACGCGTTAATCACAAACATTAATCAAGTATTCAATTTAAAGAACGAAATTAAATATCTAATAATAAATTACTTGTATGATAAACAGAGTTATAGGTTCGGCCGCATTATAATGGGTCGGGTTCGCACCGGTAAGGACACCACCTTGCTCTTCTGCCATTTTCTGCTAATTTGAAATATACAAACACTAAGGTATATATAATGAGCTTTTGACCAACGTCTCAATCAAGGATGAGGTAACGAACGTATTCACTTTCAAAATTGAAATTAAATATTATACATTAGAATGAGGAACAAATGTATGAAAAAGGATAACAAAATAATAATCGCAGAAACTACGATTATTGGGAATAATATTTTTAACCGCGGGGTTTTATAAATAATAGGGTAACACGCACTTAACAATGATTGAGAAAACAATAGTGGAATTCGGGGCACAAAGTTGGCTATCGACGTGAAAAATTTTAATGGGTCGAGATTCATTTGGGCGTTTTTTTTCATTTCCTGTCGTGTAACAACTTGTTGAGAATTTGAATCGGCGTAAATAGGGGTGATTAAAATTCTTTGGTCATGAAAAAAAGGACGGTTTTAAAAATTAGAATGTCTTTGACGTACAAATACATCATTTCAAGATATAATGCAAACAAAACGCAATTTACACAAAGATCATGATTGTGACACGAAGATAATTTATCATTTAATTAAGTTTATGATTATCCATAAAAGGATTTAGCAATTTTGAACCCCCTATGCACCCTATGCACCCTATGCAAAAAGCCATGCAAAGAGGTCATAGGAATATCGGTACCCCTTTCTAATTGTACTAACTGTGGTAAAATCCTGGGTGAAAACCTGAATAAACTACCTTTTTTGGATATCGAATGTAATAAATATACCCTGGGTATTTTAATTAATACTTTTCTACAAGTACTTTCCACGCATTCTTTCCACACATTATTACTCGGTTCTTGATCCCGTTTCCGAATCGATCGACAGTCATACCGATTTTTTAGATCATCATCTTAAAATCTTTTTTCATTATAATCGGGATTTTTCTTTCCTTCGTTCGAATTTCTCAAAAAAAAAAGATTGAAAAGAGGTAATTTGTTCACCTATTCACAATAGTACGACCAAATTTTGTTATGATGTTATATTTATGATTTAATGAGTTTGAAAATGAGCCTAGACAACTCTACGAATGTAACAAACTTTAACTTACTGAACTACAATAACAATTTCATCACAAACTCACCAAAACGTAGTTACAATCTAATTTTATGTTATTTTATTTAGAAAATTGCCGGATACCATTCATCCGATTTTTTTTATTTTATTTTTTCAAAAAAAAAAAAAGAAAAAGAAAATAAATTAATGATAATTATGAAAACGAGATATCAAATAAAAATATTTATGTATTAATTTTTTTTTAGATAAATAATAATAATAATAAATTTAGGAACATTTAATTGAGCAGAACCATTAAGTCAAAATTTAAGTTGCAATAATTTACAAATAAAACTACATATTCTCTATAATAAAATTACATCTATCCAATATAATTGAAAAGTCCATTTAAGATGATACAGCCAAATAACTGGGATCATTATCAATATTTAAACTATGATCTTTAGTAGGGGGGAGGTCAGAAGTATTGCTATTGTAGCTACTTCCCCTTGAAGTGGAAGGTCTAGGCGAACGTTTCTTTTGTCCTTTATTTATTAACCTTGTACGTTCATCAGGAAGCAATGGTTTACCATTACGACCCAGTAGTTGATCTGTTTCACTGACATAAAATGGTCCATGACCGAGACGTTTTGATCGAAAATACCAGCAAATACACATGATGAGAAGTATTCCTTGTAAACATCCTGAAACAAAGAATACAATCCATGTGGTCCATCTAGTACCGGGTCTAATATAAAGTGTGTAAACAAAAATAAACGAAGCAGGAACTTGCATAAACATCATCGGAATGCTAAGCGCACCAACGGACTAAACGAATTAGGTTATAAGAAACAAGGCATTATTAGTAATTGAATATAATTCAATTTGATTATTAAATGAACTTAACATTTACCTTACGCCACCATGTTCTGTATAACTGTGGGATAAATTGAATAGATACAAATATCATGGACGATACACCCAAGAAATCTGCCCACCCTTTCATCCAATTGATATCTTCATGACCATAAAATAATAAAAGGATCCCTGTAATGGTTAGAGTAATGATAAAATGTATTGTAATAATAATGGCAACTACGATAGAGTTACGCCACTCAATTGACCATCTAGTTGGTGGGATATTGAAATGAAGATGACGAATATATGGTGCAAGTTTTCGATGCGAAGGAAAATATAACATGAAAAGGATTAAAATTAACATGAACGTAAACCATTGAATCGCGAGTTGAATGATACCTAACGTATTCTCCAAACACGTTATACCAGGCTAATAATATAACATACGTAAGTAATTGATGAATTATAATTATAAAAAAAAATTTAATAAAATAAAAACTTACTACAATTCGACAACATTCAATCATGTGAAATTGTAAAATTATAATATTAAAAAGACTACAAGTTGCTGATATTGTTCCAAATAAAAGGAACCAGGGACTAATCCCCTCGCTCGATTTGTATTTAATAATTCTTGATACCTAATTGAAATAATGAATATCCATTTAATATCTTGACTTTATGTTATTTGAAAAATTTATGAAGAAATATACACCTGAGGGATGCAACTTATTAACAAGCCAAGTGCGACTAAAACACTCAACGATACGTCAATCGGTTCATTATCTGATATACACGTAATAATTTCTTTATCTCTTAATGAGTGTAACATTTTGAACGCATCACTTAAATTATAAAATAAAATTTAAAATCTCTCAAGGCTGGAAAAAAAAAAAAGGTGATTAAAAGTTTATGTGAGAAAAGTGAAAATGGTGTGAAGCCGCAAAACCGAATGTTTTGTTCATATACTTTTTGATCTGCCCAATAACCGTTATTAACATTACCTAATTGGTTAGCTTAAATTAAAGTAGTACCTCGATATAGGTATTAGGGAGTAATCACAAAATCCTTAGGCATATCTATAATACTGTATAAGGAAGGTTATTAATATTAAGAACCGAACATGATTTATAATATTATCCTTTCACCTTGGAGAATAAAATTATATTAGGTAAAAATCTTTTTATTTTCTTTGCAAGCAAACGGCTGATAGAAGCAAGAGTGCAAAGAAGATGGATAATTTGGACTTGGATTTAAATCGCACTCTGGGTTTGAACAAACGTTCAGCTCAAATATCGAACGGACAAATCATTAACAATATTGCAAATCTTGCTTTTTTTAAGCGGACTATTTTATTATACAAGATAAATTAGCAAAGAATGTATTCTATAAACAGGAAAAATAACCATATCAGCTACAACTTTCTGATACTTAGATTTTCTTATGACGTCTTGACTGAGCTTGATCGCTCTCTATCAACGTCATAATGTCTGATATGCTCAATTTGCATTATTAACCCGAAAATTCTTTGGCCTAACTTACTTTCATCTTCCACAGATTATAGCTAAATTTTGACAATTCCTTGGCCTTATTAGTCAGTATCGCCAACACTTTTTTCACCCCCATATTTGTCACCCGGGGTCATACCCTCCGCGTTTCATTTTTCATAAGTATTACAGGGACTTGTAATTTTGAAAAAAATTATATTTCACGCCCCTTATATGTCATCGATCACGTCGGGGTGAAATTTTACTTATAAAAGTGTGGGGTAGATTATTAGTCGAATAGAATCACGTGATACATCAATTTGTCCCGCCATCCGATCTTCAATTTTACTATATGGGATCTTTGCAATAGAAAGGGAGGAAATTGCCGAGAAAAATAAAAATGAGATAATGTCATGAAAAGTAAAATTTTCTGCCCCTTTCTGCAAAAGTCCCTATTAGTCATTCGGTTAATTTCTTAATGCCGTAATTCCGGCCGAAAAGCATCAATTCAACTCCGCTATAAACGATCACGAAAATAGCATACAAGATTAGGCTAGAAATAAGTTCACTTTATAAATGATATTTTATAATTTTTATTTTAAATAATTATACATTTCTATGATAACAAAGATCAAAATTTCTATTAAATAATATCTAACATTTCTAAGAAAGTAAAAAGAATTAAATAAAAATGCAAAAGATTTTTAATATTTCAAAAGTAATTAATACTAAAAAATTTATAATTACTTTTCATATTTTTTGCAATTTTATTTTATTCATTTATATAATAAAACTAATGATTTACTTAGTGATCCTAGTACCTTCATTATTACTAATTTTAATAAAACTTTAATTATTTATAATTTAAAATTAATTTTATTTTGTGATAATTTATTTTTCAAAATTATTAAAGTATTAATACTTTCTTATTTCTATTAAAGATGATAAATCAAAAATAAACAATCAAAATAAGAAATAAAATTATTATCTTTAAATTTAATTTAAAACTTATAAAATAAAACATATTACATTTTTATATTTTATTTGCTTTTTATAAGAATATTTTTAATTTAATTTTTACTATATAAATTCAAAAAATCATAAATTAAACAGGTTAAATTATATTTAAGAAACTTTTAAATATTTATAAATTTAAAGCTTTTGTTTTTATATTTTAAAAACATATAATATTTAATTATATAATGTAATACAAATGATTTGCATTATGAAGATTATGTGACATAGCAGAAATGATCTACAAAATATTATCGTAAAGCACGCTCTATAGTACCCTTTATATATAATGATTCTTCTCCTTCTGGAGTGGCTTAAAATATAAAATATTCTGGATACTATACATTGTGAATATATCAGTTTCATGTAAAGTACTCAGTACTAAGTATCATAATGTATTTTTAAATAAAATTTTATTGTTAAATTTAATATAGCAATTTGCAAAAAAATCTTTATTATCAATTTACAATTTATAATTCATTTGCCAATTAATTAATTCCATGAATTTTCGTAACTATCAATAACATTATTATTATACACCCTTCATTTCTAATGTGATTGAAGATGGTAAATTAAAACTAAAAGAAGTTTTATCAAAATTAGCAATTAAATTGAGTGAATAATCATATTGTATTCATTTAAAAAGAACAAAACTCAAAAATAAATGCTGTTTTTCAATTAAATCTTCAGGTAAGTGTTGAGATATTGTTGTTTTTCTTTTATTAGATAAATTAAATCTACCAATAAAACTATCTAACCACTTGTTAGAAAATTTAAAATCTTGAATTACTGGGTAAAATTATTTTATTTCATCAGTTTCTGCCAATTTTTTTGCTTTTTTTGTAATCATATTGCGAGTTATAACTTTGCTTTCTTGTCTTGAACTCTATACAGTCACACCTCGTTATAATGAAGTTGCTGATTTAGCTGATCAAGACTTCATTATAAGAATTTTCATTAACGCTATAATGAATTATGCGGTATGTATAACGAATTATTCGTTATAGTAGATGATTACTAATTTCATTACACAAATATAATTTACTATTTCCAGAAATATTTTCATGTTATTAATTGTTGAACAACAGTTTTATTAATTTACTTAAATTTTTTTTAAAAAAATTTATTTTTTTAAAATAAATAAAAATAAAATAAAAAATAA